CAGGAGTAGATCCAGAGTTACTTAGGGGGGTTTTCCTTGGGGGGCTTCGCCCAGGACCCTTCTACTCATCACTAATGCGGGAGACAGTTCGTTCTTATGCCGACCTTGTCCACCGTGTTGAGGCCCAAATCACTGCAGATGAGGCCATCAATGCACATAAGGAACAATTTGAGAAATTTGGGGGAAAGCGCAAAAGGTAACACTGGAGATAATAATCAATCTTCGCAACAGAGAAAGTCTGAACAACAGAGGAATCGCGACATCCTTCCTCAACCTGCAGGCCAACGAACTGAATATCGACCCAAAAAAGAGTATACACCACTCAACACATCACGTGCTAACGTCTTAATGACTATCAAAGATGAGCAAGCCGTTGAGTGGCCTCACGTCCTAAAACCTAACTCAGGGAATCAAGAACAATACTGTCATTTTCATCGAAGTCGTGGCCACTCCACCGAAGCATGTAAACAACTCAAGGAAGAGATTGAAAGGTTAATTAAACAGGGATATCTCGGTCGATTTATACAAAACAAATTAGCTGATATCGATAATGCTCCTATTGGCGGGTAACATACACCAAGGCAGCAACATAGGGGTCAACCGGTCGTAGGAGAAATTCAAACAATTGCTAGAGGCCCATCGTTGATTGATCAAGTCCTTGTCACTGTACCAGGTGAACCAATGCAGAAGAAATTACGCCTCGAGCCTATACTTTTGATGATTCCGATTAGAAAGGAGTGTGAGTCCCTCACCAAGATCTTCTCGTCATTAGTGCATGAATTGGTGAGCCCTGCTATAACGTAAAGAGGATCTTGATCGACAATGGGAGCTCTGTCGACGTCTTGTTCTATTCAACTTTCCTCAGTTTGGGATTAATAAGGGAAATACTTCAACTTGCATCCAGGCCATTATATGGTTTTGATGATCGACCAGTGAGTGTCGAGGGTACAATAAATCTTCCAGTTGTCTTAGGAGATTTTCCTCGACAGATGACTCACTCAGTTCAATTCATCGTTGTCAAATCAGAATCGACGTATAATGCTATCTCGGGAGACCACTGCAATCAATTTTTGGCGTCGTGACTTCTGTAACACACTTGAAGATCAAGTTTCCAACCCCAGCAGGGATTGGCGTCGTGCGAGGTGATCAACAGATAGCACAATCATGCTTATAGGGGATGAACTGTATAAGATGACCCAAGGGATTGGCTCATGGGAGATACTGTCTATAGATGACCCAAGGGAGCCAACTTGGATGGATCCTATCATCTCTTTTCTTCAAGACGGAACACTACCAAATGATGCTACTACATCATTTCGCATCCGACGCATGGCTGCCAACTTCATTCTTATAGGGGATGAGGGGATGGAACTGTATAAGAAGGCATTTGTAGGTCCGTATCTCAACTGTTTTCCTCCATCTGAAGCTGATTATGCTCTACGAGAAGTTCATTTTGGAATATGTGGGGAGCATCTTGGTGGCAGGGCACTTGCTCTTAAAATAATGAGGCAAGACTTCTACTGGCCCACGATTAAACAAGATGCATTAGAGTTTGTGCAAAAATGCAAAAATTGTCAACTACACTCCAATCTTACACAAGCACCGCCAGTGGAACTCGCTTCTTTTCTAAGTCCTTGGCCTTTCGCTCAATAGGGGGTAGATATCATGGGACCATTTCCGATAGCTACTGGACAACGAAAATTCATCATTCTAGCTGTCGACTACTTCACCAAATGGGTAGAAGCAGAGCCGCTTGCCAAGATCACTGAGGCAAATGCAAAACAGTTTGTCTGGAAAAACATCATTTGTCGCTTTGGGCTTTCTGCGAAGATTATCACTGATAATGGGACTCAATTTACAATAAATTTTAACAATTCAATTGGTCAGATCGAAAAGTAAATTAAGTTCGGAGTTGAAAAATTATCATAATTTATTTTTTATTTTAATATTGACACATTCATATTTTCTTTTTATTTCACTGTATTTCAGAGTAGGGAGAAAGATAAATGAAACTAATCAGACTTCATGAGAAAGATATAAGAAAACACAAATTTCATATATAAAAAAAAGTTTATACAACACTAATAAAAAAATAAGTAACACTTATCTGAAACTCATTCCCAAAACAAATTCCTTGTAGCCTTTCCTAGGAAATGTAGGAAGAAGAAATCTCTCACTTTTCTCCATCTTCAACACTCTTAGAGAAAAATTCACACTTAATTTTACCACAAAAACTCTAAACTCTTAAAGAAAACTCACTAATAGACTCCAAAATGATGGTCAAATGATGATGAAAAAGTGTATGATGTGTAGGAGATTGAATTAAAACGATGAATGACAAAAAAAGAGTGAAGAGGAGCTCCTTTTCTGATCAATTTTAGCCCCAAATAATTCCTAGAATTGGTTCTCCAATGGGTGCTTCCAAAACCTTTTCAAAAAACATCCAAATTCGTCGAATCTTTTAGAAACAGGTTTTGAACTAACACTGGCGCCGTCGGCGCCAGTGTTGTGCAATTTAATCCGTTGCTCTCTGTAAAACGGCGCCGTCTGTGCATAGTCTGGCGCGCCCTCGGTGCCGAACAAATTTTTAACTTCCCCATTTTGACTCTAAATTTCATTCTTTTTGTTTCAAATCCTAAAATTCAACAACCTGCTAGAAAACATGAAAAATATCTTCCATTAAAGTGCAATATCATAAAAAATAAGTATAAAATATGGGTCTAAAAATGCATATTTTTTTGTGTATCGTCAAATGACAACCTTAGAATCCTAAACACTTTACGACTTATATTGTACAATATACAATCGTAGAAAGTCCTAAAAGATAGCATGAGGATTTACGTCATATTAGACGAACAATCTCGAAGTCTTATGGGTGTATGTTATTTAAGTTTATGGAAATTCAGTTGAGGCTCCTCCTTCCGCTCTCTGTTGCCATCTCGACCAGTGCTTGGAGATGAATCGTCATTTGACCATGTCGTTGTCTTGTTCTGAGAAAAGGTGAGAGAGAAGAGGGAACATATCTTAAATGACTTATTACAAATATTTAATGTGTTTTTGTACAATGTGTTTTAAATTGTTGTTTGTTGTTGTCGAAGAAAAAATGAGTATTTTAATTTATGTTAAGCGATGCCGATTAAGATCTCACGGTTCCATCATCCCGGCGTCACTGTTAATTTTGGATTTACTTAATCTAAATGAGCTATTAAACTCATTTAGACCGAAGAATTGTCGTTAGCAATTATAGATTACCTCATTTGATGGATCCTCGTAAATCCAAAAAGGTGGATTATTATTATTATATTATTATTAGTATATTGAAGTTTAAAAACATTATTTGTGGTTTTGAAAATATTTTGTTATAGAATTTTAAGATGAGTTGAAATTAAAAAGTATGTTTTGGCTGTGTTATAAAGTTCCAATCCTAAACATATGTCCTATGTTTGCTACCCTGGGGTTTATAAAAATATGCCAGAGAAGCAGTAAAAAGTAAAAATAAACAGTAAAAAGTAGCAACAGTAAAGAGTAGTAACAATAATAGTAGCACAAATATGAACTAATATGCATAGTAAAGTACAATAAAAGAGGAAATGTCAGTATGTACTTGTCGTTTCTAATGATGCTATAAAACAAATTACAATTATATAATAAAAATGTATAAAACAGAAAAAGGTTAGACAAATATTTGAAATTTAATAATGAAAGTTGAAGTATGTATATTTTCATAAAAAGTTAAGTGATAGGCATATGAAAAATCAAAATGGGGCATAAGAAGTTAAGTTAGAGATGGCTCAGTTATAGAATTTCATTTGTCACAATCTCAAAGGCAACTGCGGCATTGAAGTCTATATGCCAATATTGAAAAACAACCACCAACAAAACACTCTAAGGTTGGGCAACTTCAAATCTCTTTCAGCTGATTGATAAGTGAGCACATAAAAGGTAAGCCTCATCGATCATATATATCCCGCATGTATATGTTGTTGATGTATGTGATGTTTATGTAACATTGTGTTTTCTAAATTTCCAACAATCAATACTATAAAGCTACAGTTCATAAGTCATCCAGAGCTGAGGTTAAAGCCACTAACAACCTACAGAAGTGAAAAGGGCAACTACTGATCAACTATTGGTTTAAAAGTTTCAGCTGTATAAGTATGAGTATTGTTTTACATCATCGCCCTTACCGCTAACAACCTACAGAAGTGAAAAGGGCAACTTCAAATAGTGATCACTACTCATGCTGATATTTTATTCTGCTGTAAAATGAGACATCAAACAAGTTCTCCAATTCTTTCATTAGCATTATGACAACGACTTTATATATGTTTAAAAATATAAGAATTTAGTATTTCTGCTAGAAGATTTAATTCCCCGGCAACGACGTCAAAAACTTGACAGCGGCTTTATATATGTTTAAAAATACAAGAATTTTATACTGCTGCTAGAAGATTTAATTCCTTGACAACGACACCAAAAACTTGATAACAGTTATATATTCGATAAAGATGTATATATCAAATATTCAATAATGGTAAAGTCACACTTATCAACGTAAGTATAGGTATTGCTCAAGTAATACAGGGCTCTAATGGAGTCCTAGATATCGATCCCACAGGGAGTAATATTAGAGGCTACGAACTAAGATTTTAGAAAATCAATACTTAATCACAACAATATAATTCAAATTGTTTACTGTCACTAATAGTCAATTGAAATAAATATGTAATTTTAATAACTCTTAAATAACTAATTCTACTAATAAAATTTCTAATGTTAAATTCAATATATAAGAAAACATCATTCTTTTTATCAAGAAATTAAAGTGAATAAATTTAAATTTGATTGTGTCAAATAGGAGCATACATATTATTTACCCTTTGGTTCAGACATAAAGAACATTGACTAATCCTATGCTTGGTTAATGAATGTGCGGCTAGGCTGGGAGGATACCGGCTCTCACTTCGGAGCTCTCAAGTTCCCCTCACCTGAGGGCTAACATCTACACTTCAGCACCCAAACGATAGGACCGAATTGAGAATTTTAGCTGTCACTCTAAAATCTCAAATTCTACGCCCGATAATTTTATTTCTCTATTTATTTGTACCCAACTTCCAAGGGTTTTGACCTCCCTGAATCTTAGATGTAATCTTCATTTTAGTTGTAAAACTCAACATATTTTAATAAGCAGGAACCAGACATTTAAGACATATGAGTAAGTTCTTTGGACTAATAAAAAAAGTATTGTAGCAATAGTTTTGAAACAAATTCATATTTGTGCTTGAAATCTCTATTATCAAATCATCTAGATTGGTTTCAAAGTAATTCGAATGAGTGAACCTTCAGATATAAAAAAATATGATTTGCATCCAGGCAACAATGATTGAACATAATTTTTAAATTATTCTTGTATGACATAAACTCGACATATCATCTTTTTGGTACGCTGTAATATTAAATATATTTTCTTGGAATCTTAAAGATAAATTTGCATTTGTAGCTTCTAGTCATTCTTTATATTTTGTTTCAATGTTTGATTGCATTAATATATTTAATAAGCGAATGTACCTTTTCCAGACCGATGATCTACAAGACCACATCATTATATGTGATTTTGGACGAGTTGGACATGTAGTTTTTGCTCACTTTGCCTAGCCCCACACCCCACACCTCCATTCCCCCTTTATCTTTTTCTTTATTTGTTATTTTGTTGCCTTTGCATTTGTTTTGGGGTACATTTGGTTCTTATAGCTTTAGTAAATGTTCTTCCATAATTTTTGCATTATCATGCAGATTATTGCTCAACTTCTTTCTGAGCGTTTGATTCCATTTGTTGCGCTTGACGTTAGAAGGTATGATCCTCCATCTTTTGCATATGTCTTGAAGTTTTAAATTAGATTAAATGTCTTTGGCTAATTTCTCATGCATCCATTTTTTTTTATATTATGAATGATTCCAATGTTGCTTAACTTAGTTGGAGTCATTTACCTTTTTAATTTATGATCAAAGACAAACCAACTTCAATTCAAATTTTGATATTGATTTATGGTGATCTAAAATATGTTTCTTATCTTTGATGGATTAGATCAACATGACACCGTTGATTTTCATTTGTTGATCAACTTGTTAGAAAGAGAAAGAATAATAGAATTGATCTCGCTTGAAATATATGAATAGTATAAGCATGTATGTGCTTATTTACAATAATAAAAATATTATCATCATCATAATATAATTTAGCACATATGATAATATTCAACATTAAACGCATGGAGACAAAGATGTCAACTTATATTTTAGAAATAGTAGTGACTAAATATGAAGTTGTTAGAGAGTTATTGCCTGAAAGTTGTGAATGTTGTAGAAGGAACATAATATAGCTTATGAGATTATTTGAAGCAATATGATTTGGGTCAATGATGTAGCATAGAGATCCGTATCATAGAAGGCAATAAGACTAGATCCTTGAACAAAGAATGAACAACGACTTCTTGATGACAAGATGTATGAAGGGCGATGTAGACCAAGGGTGTCAACTTGAGGCATTGATTGAGGGTTTTTGATGCAGGCATTCACAAACACATAGGTAGAGGCTTCATTAGAGGTGTCAATACTAAATGTCCATGGAGAGTGTCGATATCAATAAAGAGTATTGATGCAAAGCATTAATGAACGACATTAATGAACTGTTTTGATGTAGATCATCAGTGGAGAATAGAATTTGTCAATAGTGAGTATGGATGAAGAGCATCAATGGAGAATATCAATGGAGAATGTCGAAGGAGAGTATTGGAGGTATCAATAGAAGCATCGATAGAAATACAATGGAGAGCATTGTTGCAATCATCAACAAAGGCATTTATGCTATCGTTTATGGAAGCATTGAAAGAGGAGTCAATAAAGGAATTGGCAATGAGAGAGGTATTGCATAGAGTATCAATGAAAAGTATCGATGAAGAGACTCAAAGCAAGGAATCGATGATGAATTTGATTGGTTCATGAAGATTTTGATGGCATCGAATCACATTAGGGAGTCATTGATGACAATGCAGTGGAGGGATGTGATGTCTTCGGTGATATAATCTTAGTTGAGGTTGTCGACAAGCATGGTGATGTTATCATACAAAGTGATAATCATGGACGGAATTGGGTGAGCTTAGCCCCTGCATTATGTTAGAATGGAGTGAGACTAATATAATAGGAGTATACCATTGGCAGAGTTATCAAGTGAGTGACCATTAGCTTTAATGGCATATGTGAAGCTCGAAAGGTTGTTCTTTGCAATACATTCTAGGATTTTTGTGAATTTTGACTCTTGTGATTAATAAAGATAAAAGGGGTGCTAGGAGTTGGGGATTGAGAGGAATACCATGAGGGGAACTTAATCTCTTATGACTGTAAACTAGAGATGGAGTTTGTGATAGGATTGCTTGTAATAATGGAGGTTTTATCATTGAAGGTCGAGTAAGGATGAAGATGATCTCGACGTAGTTGTGCAGGTTATGGTGGAATCTAATTTTCTCAGTGTTGTGAGAGAAGCAAAGGTGCAATTATGATCTTTGTTGTTGACGTGAGGATGCTAAGCACAGGTGGTTAATCTAAGACAAGGATGTGGAGGCAAATCAAGTTCTGTAGGTGCTTCTTCTATGGAAGACAACATCATTTGGAAACTATTTCATGAAGTTCAATATTGATTCACGATGGAGGATGATTTTTCGCAGGTCATTGTAGGATTGCATAGTGCAGCCCATCTCGAGTCCCAAGTGGTGACAAAAATGCTCGATGGCCTCTTAATAGATACAACTGTTATCGATGGAATCAACCCTCAAATTTATGTTAATAGATATTATTTGTTAGGAGGAGAATGAGATCATCTTGATGGATCTTGAGGTTAAGAAAATGAAACCTACAATTCCCATCTACTCCCCTTGATCTCCTTTAAATCTCATGTATTGTACTTCAGTCATCTCTCGCTCCTGACGCCCTGCTTGCTCTTTGACATTCTTTTTTTGTTCCCGCAAAAGGCTCACATTTGAGATCATAAGACTCGCTATTTTGGTTTGATTCAATGACGAATTTTAAAGTCCCACATTTTGGCATATTCTAAAGGCGAAGGCTAAAAACCTTACTTCACAGGAACTATTAAATAGAGAATTTAGCTACCAATTTTCAAATCAAGCAAATTACAAATATGGAACGGATCTCTATGGCTCAAAAGATAAGCCCCATTCTAATTAGAATGGACCTTCCAAAGGATGTATGCCCCAACTCCTTTAGTTTGGGGGTTGAAACTTCAAGCAACTTAGTCAAAACATATCTGCTTCAATGGATTCTCTTAAATTCTCACTTGAAACCCGCTGTCAATGGTATCAATAAAGGTTTCATCATCTAAAATATTTATGACTATTGCAATCTTAAAAAAGAAAATTGTTCATCTCTTATTTGGGTGCTCATATGTGATGGATATAGTCAGGTGGGCCCTACCATGTTTTCATGCTTGAAATTCTGGAAGCTAATTCTAACCAAGAGCACTATATATTATTAATAGGTTGTATTTGCTATCATAACTTCTCTTGTTTATAATATTTGGGGTGAAAGAAATGAGAAGTTGCACAAGGAGGTGAGTTCCATTTAGGTTGCCCTCAAACTGTACATTAATTCTCAAATGCCTTAAACTTGGCACATGCAAAACTTAAAAGAATTGGCCTTTGGAGTCGGCAACTCACCCGAATCGTGAAAGTTATTATAACAAAATATTCTGACTAGGCTTTTTTTTTTCTGTTTATCCCATATCTGCCTCAGCTCTTTATGTTTTTGTGGTTGGCTATTTATTTTGGTTTCTGGGCTATTTATTTGGGTTTTGGGCATTGTTGTTCTTCATTTGGATCCATTCCACATCTTGCTTTTTACTGCATTTGTTTTCATAGAATTATGGGCTCAGTAAGGTGATGACTCCAGGTTATGTGTTTTGTTGGGATCCATATTAATATATGTTTTGGTTTCTGCATGTGTTCGAGATTTTTGGAGCGGGTTATATGCTCTAATAGCATCACCTTCATTTAGTGCTTGCTTTGCCTTTAAATTGGATTGATTTTATGAGTTCGATTAATTTCTGATTTGTGGATTTTGGTGGACTTTGGGGAGTATGTGAAAATTCTCTCTGCTAGTGAGCCGTGTGTGCAACCTTTTCACATACCATGTATGATTCAGATACGATATTTTTGGTTGCTCAGCTGTGTATGGGTATGGAGAGAACTTTTTAGTTTTAAGATCTTTCCTTTCCCTCGGTCCTTTCCACTCAAATTATCTTTGTTTGGTGGTTTTATGATTTTCCACTGTATCTGTTTTTAGTTTTCATGTTATAGCCTCTATACTTTTTGCTAAGCTGCACATTAAAATTTGCACTTGGTCTGATAGCTCATTTTGGTTGATCAATGTGTTCTCAATTTTTTAATTTTAATGTAATTGAGTTGTGGCTCTCAAATTTCTCGAGGAAAAAAAAAAACATGTTTCCCACAGTTTCCTTTTGTGAAATAAGCGGCTGACTCAATTTGGGACGTTGCAAAGGTATCATCTTAGAAGCAGATGTAACAAATTGTTTCAATAACTTATTCACTTGTATAAGAAAAGGTTCTCACGGTAGCATGAATTTTGGACGTTTTGTCTGTGGACTTTTTATCGGCAAATTTTTTTCCCCAAAAAATTTTTGTTTCAACATTTATATGTTTTATATTTTTGTATGATACATTTCACTTTGTTTAACTCTAGCAATTTTAACTTTTCCACCTTTTAACTGCATTAATTTAGGGAAGTTCGATCAAACGTTAAACAACGATCAAAGGTTAAACAGAAACTTCCACCATAACTGCACCAAATAAGGCCCTCATAAAACTTCTAAAACCCAAAGGTTAACTTATTATAGCATTTTTTAGTGATCGGGTTGCCGTTGGGCGTGCTCTTTACTTGCCTGTATATTTTGGAGACGCCGGGAGTAGAGAGGTTAGACGAGGTTTTTAGATTAATTCTGAAATTCCACAAATGTTGAATCTCGTTAAGTCAAACTAATTTCTCAATCTAATGTTTCTTAGGTCTTACACAAAGTTGGGGCTGAAAGAGCTTGTGCTGCTGCAATTACATTGGATACGCCTGCAAATTATAGAACTGTGTGGGCTCTTAGCAAATATTTCCCCAATGTGAAGACATTCCTCCGAGCTCATGATGTTGACCATGGCATTAATCTGGAGAAAGCAGGAGCAACTGCGGTGAGTCGCAACCTGAGATCTATAGTAAACTCATGATCACCAATTGTTTTTTCATACATATCTCAAATTCTTATGAATTTACATGTCTAATATCTAAACTTTGAATTTTTTACGACTCCAGGCACTCATCTTTCTTATGACATCAAAATACTACTACCATTAACTTTCTAAAAGTGAAATATAATTTTTGGTGCACAGGTGAAGTGGTATTGATGTAAATATCAAAGTGTAGGTATTAAATATGCAAATACATAAGAACACTGTGGCATGCATGTAAATCTTCCAAAAAACTTATTGAAAAGTTTACTAGATCTATTCATAGCAAAATCTAAATACCTGGAATGTCATAAGGTTGTACCAGAGACATTGCAAATACATAAGAACACTATGCTCAGGTAAAATAGCAGAAAATTGCTAAAATCGAATTTCTTTTGATTCTTCTAAGCACCATTTTTAATTGTTTTATAATCATTATTTCTCCCTGTTTTCCCTGCAGGCCAAGCTGTCAACTTCCGAAACTGCAACAGTTATTAATGAATTCAGAGCCCGTCACCTCTCTGAGCTCACTGAGGTATGCAAGGATAGGTTGATAGCCTATCATTAGGCATGCATATCTATATTTTTGCTGATATGCCTTTAAAAAAATGGAAGATTTACAAATGGGTCTTTAAATTCTTGAACTTATTTTGAGATGAAGTTGATATAGAAGTTAATTGCATATCGATATATTGCAATATTTTGAAGCGATTCCTGTGGTTTTGAAACACATCTTGATCAAATTTGGGCGGATATCCACCTTGTTTTTATGAGATTAAATTTTCATGAGCATGATTTGCGTTCATTACATTTTCATTTGATGCGCGACATCTGAACAGTTTTGTTGAAGATTATCTGTTGTATGCAGCAAAAATGAATGAATGAACGGTTAGTGATTGATCAAATGAAAATTTCTGCAGATATGTGAGGCAAGAGGTGGATTGCTGGGTTATGGATTCTCAAGAGTCATGTCCAAGACGAAATCTCTGAATTCTTCTGATTCGGATGATGATGAATTTGTTGAAGGTACACTGGCAATTTGATCAAACAAGTAGAGTAGATAAAAAGAACTCTTTTTTATTATTATTATTATTATTTTTTTTTTAGCATAATTTTGAAACCTGTACAGCTAGTTCAGATACATTTGTATAGTGAAATGAACAGCTCACATGGAAACATACGTTTCTTAGTAGAGTAAATGAGGCTTTGCTGGCTCAAATTGATTTTTGTATTCCAACATCTAACTATTCATACTAAATAGATGGGGGTTGCTAATTGTGTTCCTAATAATTCTCTGACCAATTTACTGTATATGTATACATTTATACCGATACACAGATGGATCAATAGATAGGGTTAAATACCAAAGTGGTCTCCCAACTCTATGTTGATGTAATCAATTTAATTCCAGAGTTTAGTTGTGTTTCAATTTAATCTGACTATTAAAATTTAATTCCAACTGGCACCCCTAGGATTATTGAATTGGATCAATCTTAGTCAATTGGCTAAACCGGGATCGTCTGTGTTACTGTGTTGTGGCTTTTACGCTGATCAACTTTATGTCGTCTAAATTGGATCGGTGCAAAACCAGGTGATTGGGAACAACTTATTTATATATACATATTTATGAATAATAAGCTTGTGTACAACTTGTTAAAATGTTTATGTTTAATTCGATTGGTTAATTAAACCTTAAATGAATATGAACATATATTTTTCATCATGATTGACTCATTATGAACTTAAAATGACTTATATTATTAATAGTATATTTTTAAAATTTACTAAATAATTAATATTCTTTATTTTAATCTCTTTGAATTACTCATTTCAGCAACAAATTTAACATGTTTTGAATAAGCTAAACATGATTAAATCACCAACTCGCTCAAGTTCAATCACTTTTAACACCCTTAAAATCAAAACAAATCTAAAATTAACATATAATTTTCATCTTTAAATCAAATATAAATGAAACGCATGTATTTTAAATTAGTTCGGCGAGTGCGGTTTTGTCTCTCCCAATATCAGCAATAGAGTTATAATAACCGAGCCATGCATGATAGGCTGCTTCTTTGATGCTCAAATCAATTTTTTCAATTGATTGTTCAACCTACGGAGTACATGTTGAGGAATCAAAATGAAATTAATAATAATACAGGATAATAAAAGCAAACCATTAAGTGAAGGAGTGATGTGTGGGATGCATGATCTACCTAAAAAATTATTTCAAAAAAAATGATATGCACCATTAATAACATGCAGCTCCAAATATATATATCTAAAAACAAATAAACAGGAGTTTATATAACACCCAAATTTTGGTATTTATGCTTATAACACATTGGTGTCCTAAACATATGCATGAAAAAGTATATTTCACTTTTAAAAAGGCAGTCATTGTAGTATTGTGATGTGATGTTAAAGATTTGAGGGGTTTGCATGTAAATATGAATGTTTTAAGCGTTACATATGTAAGTACATAAGAATTGTGTGGTATGTATGTAAATGCCCCTTTCAAGTATTGTTATTCTAGTCAATAAGTGAGGCAATGTATTTTTGGCAGCAACTTGGATAGATTTGTTAGTGCTAGCATATGATACCCGGGTTAGCCAACAACAACGATAGAAGCAAATATTATTACTGAAAGAAAGCCAACAAACAGTTACAACCAACACCCTAAACCCTAAAAGGAATTTAACAACAGGAAGATACAGTCAGAGCACCATTTGAACCATTGGCTTCATCCCTCGAAGGAAAAAAAGAGACGCCAGGGCTGCCCGAACAAACATATGCAAAAGATGAGAATCCATATCCTAATACAACTCATGTATACAAAATAACTAGAAGGGAAGGATAAAGGTAAAGTCTCTGGAAAATAGAAGGAAAAAAAAGAAAAAGTCGCCTGATTCGGTCTTCCCACGATTGCAGGAGCTGCGGCTCACATCCAGCATCCAGGGCATAGTGTCCCGTGACAATATAACTGTGAGTCCAAGTACCTCCTAAGAATGTTTTAGAATGTCTCAAGTATAATGATAACGCATTCCAGGGTAGCAACACAATATGAAATACCTTAAATCCTTACCTAGCACTTTCCCTAAAGAACAATCGGTTGAATAATTTCAAAAAGAGTACATTTTAGCAATGCAAGGGTTGTTTGGTTGGATGCTAGTCATGTTTGTTAGGCTTGATTTTAAAACTCTCTCTCTCTCTCTCTCTCTCTAAACTCGAAGAGGGAAGACAAGGTTGAGTGTAATGGCGGAGATGATGATGGAAATGGTCACTAGATCAACTAATATAAACATTAGCAAAAAAAAAAAAAAGACATTTTTTTAATTAAAGTAAAAATTTTTATGTGAGTAGACTATTTAGATAGAGGTATTTTAGTCCCGAAATTTATAAAAAAAAGTTAAATTAGTCTCCAGACTATTTTAATATGGGTTAAAATAGTTCTCATTGGGGACTAGTTTAACACATATTAAAAAAATTGGGGACTAAATTGACACTTCTATAAACTCTGAGACGAAAATAAATCCTTGCAAAGAGTTAAAGAACCACTTTAATACTTTCCTCATTTTGTAAGTAGTTACAAGTTATAAAATTAATACTTGTAATAATAAAGCTATTTTGCACCTTTTGTTTTACGTCTGAACCAAGCTCAGGTAGCTGGCAACTCTCATTGGGGAGATCTTTTATCGCGTTCATGAAATATTCCTCCCATGGCGCGAGCAACAGGATGCCCTTCCCAGTCTTGCCCTCACGGCCTGTTCTTCCAAGTCGATGTATGTATTGTTCACGATCTGTAGGAATCCCAACCTGAGGACCAGAAATGTTCTTACTAGCTGGAAAGCCAATAAAAATTAAACTCAGAATAAACCAGTATAATCACATGGCACACTTGATTCAAAAAGAGATTTCACCTACTAGGTTATTTAGCATCAGCAAGTCC